TCTGTATAATAAGATAAGTAGTCCTCCATCTCCCAACTAATTAAACACCACCAATAATGGCGTTATCTGTTGTAAACCTCCCCTTACAAAGAATAGATGTCGTTCGGAGAATAAAGAACAAGCCTGATGCCAAGAATTCTATAAATGTTGACCAATTGAAAACAATAAGTCTAAATTGTAAAATCACCAATCCGTAGAACAAACGTGGTGATTAACCCATTTTTTTTAATATTTTACAATTGTTTATTTGGCAGCCAGTTATATTATCTATTTTTGAGGTGTTGAGGACGCCCATCGGCGTTATAGACGAAAACTACCCCGCACCTGAAATATAAAGTTAATTTTCTCTGCCGCAATGAATGAGTTAATTCTTTTTCTCCATTTGAGAAGAGACCTTTGCCTAGCAGTGGGACAGTTACAGGCTATTTTTTTCTAATTTGAATACATCTGCATACATAATTATATAAATTGTAGTCATTATATTTCTAATATATAGCAGTTGATAAAAAATATATAATTATATGTCTGTTCTATATATGTCTATATAGTCCTCTACTATATTTATAAATCTAAACTTATATGAGTCAAAGGACTGAAAATTTGAACTGAAGTCTTAGAACACGCGATTTTAAACTCAATTATGTTAAGAATAACGATTAATTTGCTACTTTAGATATAAAAAGACTGTATCGTGCATATGATTTTGAACTCAGTCTTATAAAAAATAAGAAATAATTAAGTTCACTTGTTTAAAAAATGAACTAAATTACAGAGAAAGTGGTTGATTTATATGAAAAAAAACAATGATAATATTTATACTACTATCAGTAGTAAGTAACAAAGTTTACGACACGTCTCATGGAATGCGGACATCGTAGACTAAGTACAGCTCAGCTATTCTATAGCTTTCAAATTGATTGAGCTGTGAGGCTGTGAGAAAAATCTCAACCAATGACGGGCGAGACTCGAAGACTAGTCAAATTCAATACTTTTTTCGAATTTTCAAACGACAGTTTTCTATGAATTTTGTACGAGATTGTATATTGTGACGTCACGTTTTTTTAGAGTCAAACAGCATACTTATTTCTTAAAAAATTGCTGGAAAAATAGTAAAATTAAGTTGTTCATAAAATCAATTAATGAAATTGCGATTACTTTTTCATATTTTATTGTATTGAACAATCGAAATAATTTCATTTTGATTAGGGAAAGTACCCAATTACTTAGCAGACCTTTCTTATTTAAACTGTAGAAATTTTAAACCCAATTTTATAGTGCCACGTGCTAATAACCTTTCAGTTCAAACTTTATCCCCAATCCCCGTGAATATTAATAAAAAAATTGATTATATATTACAACTATGTATAATAATAATAATATTAAACTTTACATTCTAAATTATGAGTTTTTTATATAATACTCATTTGCTTTTTATTCTATGGAAATGTATATCCTGTTTTTATCTGTGTTCCGGTCATAGGCTGTTGTTTTAAATTGTTTTTTTTATATATATAATTGTTTGTGTTTATAATATGTGCGAGTATCTACGAAACAGGTTTTCTGAGAGCTACTTTTTAATAAGTGTTTAAACTAATCTATTGTATAAACTAAAGTAGTATAATTAATATACTATTATATAATATATAGATTTAAAACAACAGCCTTAGTCAGTAAATTAAACTAAATAAAGATATTATAATTAGTTCGAGTCATTCTTTTATATTTTAATATCCAAAAAATCATGGTATATGCGAACGAGTAAAATATTGTTATTTATCTAATGAATATGAGAATCATAGATTTATTTTGACAGCGTTTGAGAAAGAGTGAATGTACATAGTTTTGATTATTAAGAGTAACATTAAACACAGATAAACTAAAAACATGTGAAATTAAATAAAATTTTGTAAAAGACGTGGTAGGCGACAATGCACCAACCAATCAAAGAGCAGTACGAATTCGTATCATGTTTAAAGTAATCAAAATAAATACGCGTTAAAAAGTCTGGTGGCTTACTCTTGACTACAATTCCGATCGATCGACATTGGTATTGTGAAATTTCGTACTCTTGAATTCCAACACTAGCGCCCATTGCATCCGTATTGCGTGGATATTGAATGAACTAAATGGTATTGAGTTTGGTTTTATATTCCGTACTCTGAATGCTATTTTAACAGCTGCGATAGGGGTTGTATAGTTTTGACATTGAATAATAATTGAGATTTTATTGGATTGAAATATAACATAACATCACGCCTTTGAACGGGGCCTCTGCCTACCCAGGCAGAGGTGTATGTACATTACGGCACTTAATGCCACAGTACAATGTCACACCCAGTTTTCACTATTTATGTTATGAGTCCCATGTAATAGGATAAAAATACATATATGATTTTAATGAATATATAAATATAAAAGAATGATTATTTCTGTGTTATTGTGATTTTATATATTATATTACAATAATATACTATTAGGTACTTATATTTCTGAGATTTGAAGTGGTCTTAATTACTTTTAAAATTAAATAAAGTCGACATTATAACAAGTTTTTCAGTTTTATGAAAAAAGTTATATATAATATATATATTTTTACTAAATATTTATATTTATAAAGGTTTGGTCGTAGCTTAATTTTTAAATTATTTAGGATTTGACCCGCGCCTTATAATTTTAACATATATTATAATGTATAAGTTTAAAATCATATATTTATAATACTTATTATAACTAATTTACATATAAAACAAAATAATGTTAATAACTACTCGAGAGAAAAATGTTAAATCAACTATTTAACATTTCAAAATATTAATTATATTTACATCAGCCTCTGATAGGTATATTTTGTAAATTTTACTAGTCTATTAATTCATGCCAACCATGGCGTTATAGAATGACAACGTAACGGTGTCATAATGACTTATCAATGGGGGCCACCGTTTTTCTGCTCACCAGTGGCGCCAGTGTGCTCCTCTCGTTCTTCGTCCAATACTGAGTGTCACAACATAACATAACATAACATCACGCCTTTTATCTCCGAAAGGATAGGCAGAGGTGCACATTATGCCACTGTACAATGTAACACTCACTTTTCACTATTTATGAGTCCCATGTAATAGGGGGTGAGTCTATTGCCATATACCGGGCACAGTTCCAGACTCCGTGCTACTACTGAGATTTTTTTAAAACCCAGTCATACTTTCCCCGACCCGGGAATCGAACCGGAGACCCCTTGCCCGGCAGTCGCTCTTGCGACCAATCGGCCAACGAGGCAGTCACAACATTGGGCGTTTAATATTTGACGGCTACTTGAATTGGACATAAATACCTCTTTTTATATATATACCTCTATATATATATGATGGGCTGACGTTCGACCACTATCTCGCCTGGTGTTAAGCGATGATGCGTTCTACGATGGAGCACGTCGTCCCATAAGCAACCTATTTACTCGGGCCTTGAAGACACCCAGGTACCCTTATTATACCCTTCAGGAAACACAGACTCTGGCAAAGAATTCCACTCCTTAGCTGTACGCACAGGGAAGCTTGATGCAAAGCGCTTCGAGCGTCTTCCCAGAATCCCTCCCTACATTGGCGCCTGGTGTGGTGAGCAAAAAAACGTTTGCCCCGATTGTCATCATAGTAGTGTCACAATCTGAGACAGATTAAACATAGAGCGCGCCCTAGGCAAGCACCTCAAATGCGCCTTTAATTTTTTTGACGCCATCGTCACTTTATAGGAATGCACGTCTCGCAGTACCCCTCCGTAACCAGCAGCTGTAGCCAAATACCATTTTGCGCTTGTCTTCATATAGAGTAGAAAACTAAATGTATAGGGATGACACTGACAAGTGTCAAAATTTACGTCAATTCCATATAATTTAGTTTTCTATTCTACATGTAGACAAGCGCTACATGGCATTTGGCTATAGATGCAGTGCCTTTAGCCAAACGCCACTTTAGCGCTTGTCTACAGAGAGAGTAGAAATCAAAATGGAAAGAATGAATGAAAGGGATGACACTGACAAGTGTCAAAATTTACGTCAATTCCATTTGGTTTTCTATCCTACATGTAGACAAGCGCTAAATAGCACTTGGCTACAGCTGCTGGCGCCCTAGGTACTTACCGAGTTTGCCTTAATACGGCTCTGAAAAAACACTAATGATGGTCAAGTGACGATGGTGACGTCACAGAAGTACCATAATCGTACCACGTTGGTATCAAAATATCGATACAATCTTATCAAGACGTCAAATACAAATGTATCAACGTCAAAATTACATCTTAATTGCGCATGAATTAACGGAAATAAACCAATTACCTGCCGCACTCAGAAACATTTCATGATCGCTTAAACTATTCATTAGTATTATTCAGACACCACTGACAAACGGTGAAGGAAAACATCGTGAGGAAACCGCCGGGCCGTTAGCCAAACGCCACTTTAGCGCTTGTCTACAGAGAGAGTAGAAATCAAAATGTATGGGGATGACACTGACAAGTGTCAAAAATTACGTCAATTCCATATAATTTAGTTTTCTATTCTACATGTAGACAAGCGCTAAATGGCATTTGGCTACAGCTGCTGGGCTTATAATTTCTCATTTTTAGTTTGAAATCGCCAACCCGCAATGAGCAAGCGTGGTGATGAATGCTCAATGCGTTCTCTGTGTGAGAAGAGGCCTTTGGTCAGCAGTGGCCACTTATAGACTGTTGATGTGATGACGTCAAAAATTTTTGACGACAAATATAAAGTGTATTAAATCAATTAATGAAAGTATTTCTTTTTAATAAAAATATCTAATACCAGTTTAAGTAATCATTAAATGTCTTGAAAAGGCTACTCAATTTTAAATTGCACTTAAACATCGTGCTATCTCTGTCATTATACAAAGAACTTGTAGAGATAGAACTATTAATTAATTATTATGTTTTTCGGCTTACTCCCGTAACTATTTGACGAGGAACTCGACTAGTTTCAAGCCATGCTAGGCTCATGTTCATGGGCAGCATTTCGCGACACGATGCAGCGACATAATAATTAATTTAAAAAAGTTATAATGCAAAGATAGTACTATACTTGAGAGCGTATTATAATTAAGTGGCGTTTGAGTATTTGACCATGAGTACGGCGGGAAAAGTTCACAGAGTATAAATCACAAGGGCGCGGGTCTAATTAATAATTACTAGACATTATAACAATAATTATTATTTATACATCACGTAGTGTCGTCCTCGTCTTGTTTATGGTCGGGGCGGCGGGCTGCGACGATGGTGAGGTCGGGCCTCGTCCGCATTAGGGCGGAGGGCGACGCGGGGGGCGGCGGCGCGGGGGCGGGGGGCGCAGGGACTTCGCCCCCGCGTAGTGAGTCTAGGCTCGCCACTCTTATTGTTGGCCATTTGCCTGCTGTGGATTAAGTTGTAGGACTTAAGTAATAGAGTATGCTTCTATACTAGCTGTTCATTGGTAAAGTAAAATACTTCATTAAAATTAAATTATAAGTAAGGTTAACAAAAACATTGTTTTTTATTGAACAAGCCTGCCACAGTCTCCCAAAACTGTTGCAAATCCTGTGCACCAGGATCTACAGTAGATACAACCATGGAAACACCGGTACACTGAAGTCCGGCGCGTCCCAGGGACATGAGTAACTTCTTCTTCGTTCTTCTAGTCTTGGTTCCCGCAACGAAGTAAATCAGAAGATATTATAAGAGGAGAAGAAAATGTTTTTTATTACACTAACATACTTTATAAGTCTCTTTTTTACATAACATAACATCACGCCATTTATCCCCGAATGGGTAGGCAGAGGTGCACATTATGCCACTGTACAATGTAACACCCACTTTTCACTATTTATGTTATGAGTCCCATGTAATAGGGGGTGAGTTTTGCCATATACCAGGCACATTTCCAGACTCCGTGCTACTACTGAGAATTTTTTTTCAAACCCAGTGATACCGTGCCCGACCCGGGAATCGAACCCGAGACACCTTGCCCGGCAGTTGCACTTGCGACCACTCGGCCAACGAGGCAGTCTTTTACTCACCCAATATGGACCAACTAGTCTGTAGTCACTTTCCGATTTAGTCTGTCTAGTATAAATCGGAAAGTGAGTTTGTTTGTTTGTTCCGCTTTCACGCCGTAACTACTAAACCGATTGCTTTGAATTTTTGCAGACGTAAAGTTAGAAGTCTGGATTAATGAATAGGGTACTTTTTATCTCGGAAAAATTAGATATTCTCGAGGGAAAACGAAATTATTGGTAAAGATGGCGCTGTGTGTATTGGTATATGTCACATAGGCTACTTTTTATCCTTTTCTGACGCGAGCGAAGCCGCGGATAAAAGGTAGTCTGAAATAAATGATATATTATTATTGGAAAAGTATTATTTACTTACAAGTAGTAGTAGCAGTGGGTGCGGGCGTCTGTTTGGCGTCGTGTGTAGATATCACCGTGGCGGGGATCGTCTCCTCGTCCGACACTGAGCCAATCACTATCTTCTTTATAGGCTACAACAATTATTATATTTTATAGCAAAACATAACTGACTGCCTCGTTAGCCGAGTGGTCGCAAATGCGACTGCCAGATTAGGGATTTCGGGTTCGATTCCCGGATCGGGCAAAGTATTACTGGGTTTTTTAAAAATATCAGTAGTAGCACGGAGTCTGGAAATGCGGCCGGTGTATGCCAATAGGCTCACCCCCTATTATATGGGACTCATAACATAAATAGTGTAAAATGGGGGTGTTACATTGTACAGTGGCATTAAGAGCCATAGTGTGCACCTCTGTCCACCTCTTAGGGGATAAAAGGCTTGATGTTATGCGTGGCCGTGTTAAAGGCGTTAGCCTATTGCCATATATCGGGCACAATTCCAAACTCCGACTTATTTACTGAGATTTTCTTAAAAACACAGTAATGTTTTGGCCGACCCGGTAATTGAACCCGAAACGCTTTGCCCGGCAGTCGCACTTGCGACTATTTGGCCAACGAAGTAGTTTAAAAGTAGGTGTGCGATTTCCCTTGTTCTTATTAAAGACAAGTAGCTAGTCGTACCTTGTCCCCGGGCGCGGCGGGGGGCGTGGTGGCCGTGGCAGTGGGGGGAGGCGGCGGCTTCCGTAACTTGACGGACGCACCGCTCGCGCTGTACGTACGCGACCGGACCTTCAGGGACGGGTCCATCTCTATCGGGATCGGCTCGAATTCTGGACAAAACAAATTATTTTTTCATTTAAAATCCCCTAAAATAATTTTTTTAAATACTACTTAACAACGTTGCGTTGTGTTTCGTCGTGTGAGTGAGGTTACCGGATGCCCAATTACCCCCCCCCCTCCCTTTGCCCAATCGCTAAATCCCTAACAATCTTCAAACTCCTAATCCCAAAAGGCCGGTAAAGCACTTGTAACGCCTCTGGTGTTCCAGGTGTCCATGGGCGGCGCCGATTGCTTACAATCAGGTGATCCGTCTGCTCGTTTACTGGCTTATCCCATAAAAAAGACTTAAGCCTAGTAAAAGTACCTTTCTAATAGGGGGCCGTCCATAAATTACGTCACACTTTAAGGGGTACGGAGGGGGTCGAAGTGTGACATTGTGTGACAAGGGGGAGGGAGGGATACTAAACTTCGTGATGTCACATTTCAAAAATTATTATAAAACGCGAATTCTAATTGCATTTATGTTTTTTCTATTTTGTTTGATTTGGTATTAACATTTTTTTTAAGTAATTTAAACTGTCAAACACCAAGCGGTCACCGGTGACCGCAACCTATTGTTCTATAATTGTGTCTACAAAACCGGTACTCGACGAGTTAAATAGAAATAAAACTGCTGCTTCGGAACCGCTGTTTTCATTCAATAATTTATTATACAATACGTAATTCTGCAAATTGTGACGTGGGGATCACACTAGGGTGGGGATAGGGGGGGTCTCATAAATTTGACTAGGTGTGACAAGGACGGGGGGAGGGGCAAGAAATCATGAAATTCGTGAGACGTAATTTATGGATGATCCCTAGGTAACAAACCTTTCTCCGGCAATCCGAAGTCAGCTAAATGAGCAGCTAAATTGGCGATGCTGACACCGAGAGACTGAGCCGCAGCGTCCAGTGTCATCTCCCCTCGCTGGAGCCTGTCGAGGACTTCGGAGGGACCCTTGGCTTGCCAGAAGTCTCTCACCGCCCTGGGGGTCAGATGTGGTGATGAACTACCGTTTATTATTCTGAAATCATAATTTTAGTTCATTTTGTATTTCGTGGTTGGTTTTTCACTACATAGTATAAAACAAAGTCGCTATCCGCCGTCTGTCTGTCCCTATGTATACTTAGATCTTTAAAACTACACAACGGACTTTGATGTGGGTTTTTAATAAATTTTTTTTAAGGGGGGAAAATCATCGAATGACTGCTCCCGCCTGGGTGAGGCGGGAGGGTGTGTCAGACTCTTACTGACTAAAAACCACCCCGTTCCTTCTCCTGCACGTCGAGCCGGAGCCGAACGAGAACCCGTTAGGTTCTCCGTGACTTTTTTAATAGATTGAGTGATACTTAATAAAGGTTTATATATATAATACATGCATATTGCACCCGTGCAAAGTTGGGGCGGGTCGGTAGTAAGATATAAAATAATATGATGTTTTTAACCGACTTCAAAATAAAATAGAGGTTCTCAGTTTCTTTGTGCGCGTTTATCTTACTATTGACTGAACCGATTTTGATGTGGTTTCCAGAAAAGTGTTTGTTACACTTAAGAGAATAGAATATTATAGAATAGAATAATTTATGGAAATAAACATTCACAAAAATTAACACTAAACCAACAGTAACAGGGTTTCCTATTACAATAAAGATACAATACAGTGCTAAATAATATACTATAAAATTATCCCCGAATGGGTAGGCAGAGGTGCACATTATGCCACTGTACAATGTAACACCCACTTTTCACTATTTATGTTATGAGTTCTATGTACGCCGGGTGGCCTATTGCCATATACCGGGCACAATTCCAGACTCCGTGCTACTACTGAGAATATTTTAAAAACCCAGTAATACTTTACCCGACCCGGGAATCGAACCCGAGATCCCTTGCCCGGCAGTCGCACTTGCGACCACTGGCCAACGAGGCAGTCAATTAAAATATCAATAAAGGTATATTGTTGTATTGTATACTGAAATTGTAAATGTATGTTCTATGTTGATTTAATAAATTTATTTATTTTTTGGAAGTGATTCGGAAAATCCAATTATTTGAGGATTTTTTCGCCTTCAAGAGAGGGGGTAATTTATAAAATAATTATGTGTTAAAAAGTCGTTATTTTATTATTATAATGTATTTTGAACTCAGAAACTAGACTGTGGTTCCTCAGTTCAATGAAATCCGTATCCTAATGAAATGAAGTAAAATTTTACTACTATTTTAGTACGCGGCGTATTTTTATATGCGCAGGCAACGTGCCTAGATCACGGTGTATATGCTTCAGACGAGAATCGAACCACATGTGAGCACCATGTTAGACTATAAGATTTTTTATTTTAGTAAGTTTTGTAATTAGTATAATGCGTTAAGCGTGTCTTTGCATTGTTCTCACATATATACGTACAGTATTGGAATATGTATCAGAGATATTGTAGAACATAATTTTTAAAAAGAGTAACGAATGGAGTTACTCTCGTTCGTCTCCATTAGAATCTACATTTTGGAATGAGCACCTAGCTTCACCTAGCTTCACTGACGGACTCATTGACAGACTATTATTTATTTTGTATTTATTGACGTTTCAAAAGTACCAAATTATGGTTTAATTGAAATAAATGCTTTGACTTTGACTTTGCACGTCTCTAATGCGTACACGTACACGTACGTCTACTGTGCGTATCCACGTGCGTGTATTGTAGGTTTTTGCGCTATCTGTAGTCACTTGTAACACAATACAACTTTAGAGAATAGAGTAGAGAGTTCCCTAAAATCGGATCGGATGTCCCAGAGACATGAATAACTGTCTTGGTTCCCGCAACGAAGTAAATCAGAAGATATTATAAGAGGAGAAGAAAAAAACGATAGTTTCCACTTCCCTCGGTGAATTTGATGCAGGAGACAGAATGAATAGGGTAAATGCCTAATTTTAATGTCCGTCTGGTAGATTATTTTAAATCATTAAACACGTATTTTTTATTTTCTTACAGAAACGAATACTTTCGACGATATTTTGATTTGAAATGTCGCGTGACGTCACTTCTATGTACATTTTTATACGTAGAAATGACGGTTTAGCCCCCACTCCTAAACTTTGATTCGATTTATCTAAGTATTGTTTTATTATACGACAAAATAAACAAATACGTGTCTAATATTTTTTCATTACCTAACTTACGGACTAATTAGATTTTTAATTTTCATACCCTGTCATCATCCCTATTAAGGCTATGGGCCTATAACTAAAAATTGCAATAAGGTTCAAATTCGCCCATATAACTCACCGGTAGGGTCGGTTAATACAGCCGTACACGTCCCGGTACCTCCCGTACAGAGTGCCGTAGCTCACTCCCAGTATCTCGGCCGCCTGCTTCATCTCCAACTCCTTCAGGCGGACCGCTTCCATCACCTGCAAGTAGAACGTTAAGTTGAGTAATTGAGGTCGGGTTTTGGATGGGTGGTCAGTCATACATTAAGTACAATGCTAAGAATATCAATGCAGACTGCACGTTTGGCGCGGAGGCTTACACCGGCTACCGCGCAAACTATACCTGGTTCGATTCCCGAACGGTGTGACTTTTTGTGTGATCCACAAATTGTTGTTCCAGGTCTGGGTGTCATGTTTATGTGAACTTGTATGTTTGTAAACGCACCCACGACACAGGAGAAAGGACAATTGTGGGGAAATGTACATTAAAAAAAAACCGGTCACTAGCGTGTTCAACCAAACAAAACTTCAATTTTATAATCTTTACATAACATAACACCACGCCTTTTATCCCCAAAGGGATAGGCAGGGGTGTACATTACGGCACTTTATACCACTGTACTATGTAACACCCACTTTTCACTATTTATGTTATGAGTCTCATGTAATAGGGGGTGCGCCTATTGCCATATACCGGGCACAATTCCAGACTCCGTGCTACTACTGAGATTTTTTTAAAAAGCCCAGTAATACTTTGCCCTACCCGGGAGTCGAACCTGAGACCCCTTGCCCGGCAGTCGCAATTGCGATCACTCGGCCAACGAGGCAGTTATAATGTTTATTAAGTAATATTTACCCTTTTAACATAATTCTCCTCCCAGAACTGCGGCCGTCTACCGTGCTGGAGGTAGTCGTTCAGTTTCACCACGTCTGTGAACCTGGGGTCCGTCGGACCGGACTTTGGACCCGCCGTTGTTGGTGTTGCTGCTGTAAAAAAAGAAGAAATTTATAAAAATATGTCGTGACAACTTTAAACAAGTAACGGTAAGCATCTAAAACTGAAACAACAAGTCAAACAAGTGAATTTATTTCTGCAAATAAGCTAGGAGAAATGCCGAAACAAACTCAGAGGTCCGTCTCTTTTAAAGTCCAGACAATATGTATAACAGATTATGTGTGAGAACCGTGCAAGTTCTTTCTGTAGTGGCCTTTTGAGAAAAGAACCACAACAGTTTGAGCGGACCCGTTCTGAAGGCAGTACGCATGTTTCGGTTTACAGTCAGCTCAATTAACAGGTGAGGCTGACTGATTCGACATACGGAGCCGCGAAGGACTTAACGGGTTACCGGGGCTCCGGCTCGAAGTGCAGGAGTAGGAACGGGGTGGTTTTTAGTCAGTAAGAGTCTGACACTCCCTCTCGTCTCACCTGAGCGAGAGAAGTGAATGAATGATTTGCCCCCCTCAAAAAAAGGAGCATTACATTATTTAACCAATCACCTCTGTTTTCCCCCTAAATCTTATACAGTACGTACCTGCACTCCGATTGAGTTGTGAAAGTTGTGCCTTCGCGAGTTCAGCTCTGAGTTCAGCCGCGGACACTGATGACGCAGCCGCTGATGACGACGATGACGCCGCCGCCGACTGCCGCGTCGGTACACTCTCGTTTGATTCCTCGTCTGAAGAAATCAAATATAAGAAAATTAATATTGAAACTTCCAGTATTTGTAGATTTAGTACGAAATTGTATACTGGAGCAAAGTGCTAATGCGTTACTCGATTTTGACACTTCTTGAACAGAGGTTTTTTGACTGCAGTGATACGGCTTCACAAAAACCCGGCTTGAAATAACGCTTGTGTCATTTGAATAAGGCTAATAGAATCCCCCACCCCCCTCCCCCTCATCCCCAATCCCCTAATATCCCCCAATCCTCAAATTCGTAACCCCTAAAAGGCCGACAATGCACTGAAAGGCTACTCAATTTACGTCGCGCTTAAGTATAGTTCTGTCTCTACAAACTCTTTGTAAAATGAAAGAGATGGCACGATATTTAAGTATAAATTAAAATTGAGTACACTTCCAGTATTCGTGGTGTCCTGATGTCGTGGTGGCTCGGAGGTTTAAGACGCCTACTTCTCATGCATGAGGGTGCGAGTTCGAAACCTACCAACAGCAAGTACCAATGTGACTTTTTCCGAGTTATATGTACTTTCTAAGATTATTCAGACACCACTGACAAACGGTGAAGGAAAACATCGTGAGGAAACCTGGACTTATTTCTAATTATAAGTTTGAAATCACCAATCCGCATTGATCAAGCGTGGTGATTAATGCTCAAACCTTCTTCGGGTGAGAAGAGGCTATGCTCAGCAGTGAGCATTTATACGCTGTTGATGATGATGAGACTTCCAGTATTCAGGCGCTAGTAATTATAATAAGACACTCACCTGCACTATTGTCTCCATCGACCCTCAATTTCGTATGTAGGAAGGATCCTATATCAGCGGGGGCATCGGCCCACTCGTCGTCCGAGGGGTCCCTGGAGGTAGACCGTGAAGCCCTCATCCCCCAGCCCACGACCCTCTCCGCAGTGATGTCCTGAGGTTCATATACTTGCTATAGAACAGGGTTCATTTAAAAATAATTATAATTTATACATATTTTTTATGAGGGGAGCATGTATGGAAATACTGTTGACTGTGATGACAAGTGCGACTATTGGGCAAGGGGTCTCGGGTTCAGGAAAAGTATTACTGGATTTTTTTTTAATTCTCAGTTGTAACACGGAGTCTGGAACTGTGCCCGGTATATGGCAATAGCCTCACCCCCTATTACATGGGACTCAAAACGTAATAGTGAAAAGTGGGTGTTACATTGGAGGTACAGTGGCATTAAGTACCGTAATTGTACACCTCTGTCTACCCCTTCCGGGATAAAAGGGGTGATGCTATGTTACATAGGGTTCGATAAAATGAAAAAAGTGGTAGTGGATGCGTTTTTTGCTCCTTTAGGGACCCACTTTTCACTATTTATGTCATGAGTCTCATGTAATAGGGAGTGAGCCTATTGCCATATACCGGGCACAATTCCAGACTCCGTGCTATAACTGAGATTTAAAAAAAAACCTCTACGACTTAAAAATAAACTACTTTAAAACAAATTGCTTTCATTTTAAACGTAACTAAATCGCCTTTAATACGTTACATACATACGTTCCCAATTAATAAAATAGGTACTTCTACTTATCAAGAAATGAAAAAGAAAAAATACGTTTTAACGTTTCTTTGGTCCGAAATGTAGAATATATAAAATAATTAAAGTGAATACTTACTAAGTTCCCATACCGCCACTCTTGATCTTTGTCTCTGTCTCTTTCTCTGAAAAATAAAAATATACTCTGTTAGAAGCATAGACAAAAAAGGAACGTCATCGCGTGGCGGGAAATTTTAATCTGTGGTTCGAGAAAGTGGTGGAAATTTTAATCTGTGGTCAAGATGGCGGTAACTCGGCAGTTATTATTACACAGTTATTGAGACGGCATATTTTGTGCACCGTCTCCTCTTTGAGTACCGTCATTATAGACACAATTAAAGAACAATAGATTGCGGTCACCGGTGTCCTCGCGGTGTTTGATAGTGTAAAGATTTTTAATCTTCAATTCGTCAATTTCTCTTTTCATTTATTTATTTAAACCAACATATTCTAACAGTGCCTTTAGCCAAACGCCACTTTAGCGCTTGTCTACAGACAGAGTAGAAATCAAAATGTATGGGGATGATATTGACAAGTGTCAAAATGTACGTCAATTCCATATAATTTAGTTTTCTATTCTACATGTAGACAAGCGCTAAATGGCATTTGGCTACAGCTGCAGGACTGTCGTGGTGGCTCGGACGTGAAGCCGCCCGCTTCTCATGCATGCGGGTTCGAAACCTACTAACAGCAAGTACCCATGTCACTTTTTCCGAGTTATATGTACCTATTTTCTAAAATTACCTAGACACTACTGACAAACGGTGAAGGAAAACATCGTGAGGAAACCTGGGCTTATAATTTCTAATTATAAGTTTTTATTCGCCAACCCGCATTGAGCAAGCGTGGTGATTAATGCTCAAACCTTCTCCGTGTGAGAAGAGGCTTTGCTCAGCAGTGGGATTTAAAGGCTGTTGATGATGATCCTAACAATAATTGAACTTTAGTTTTTATTACAATTGAATTAAGGTCGAAATTTACTTACGATTTAGGTACATTACTAGGCATTTCGTCGTCCGTGTGTTCAGTACCGCTTGCTATTCGCTGTCGCTTTGGACTTGTGCTTTCTCTGAAAAAAAAAAACAAAGTATTAACAAAAATTAATCCCCGATATTCGGGCGTAACTCAAGAACGACAGTACTATATTGGGTAATTCTTTCTTTTATGTGTTCGTGTATGCAACAGGATGCACGTACGAAGTCACAGTAAGCAGCTAGTATTCATAAAAAATAAACTGAGACTGCCTTGCAATGGTCGCCAGCGCAACAGTGAGAAGTTCGCTTCCCTAGTCGAGCTTTAGTATTTAAGGAAACAGAGAGTAAAGTTCCCTAAAATCGGAAAAGCCTCTTTGCCTGCCTCGTTGGCCGAGTGGTCGCAAGTGCGACTGCCGGGCAAGTGGTCTCGGGTTCAATTCCCTGGTCGGACAAAGTATTACTGGGTTTTTTTCTAAAAATATAAGCAGTAGCACGGAGTCTGGAAATGTGCCCGGTATATGGCAATAGTCTCACTCCCTATTACATGGGACTCATAACATAACTGGATAAAAGTTGGTGTTTCATTGTATTTGTGTTCTGTCTACCTCTTCACGGATTAAAAGCTTTATAGCCGTCTCCACCAACAGCCCCTGAACCACCTCTTAACTATAATTTACTTAGCGTCACGTAGCACCTGTGGTGGGCACATTAACCACTAACTGAGTTCAGGAAACTAATTCCTATTGCTAGGAAACATCCTAGCAATAGGAATTAGTTTACTCAGCTATACTGGACTCCAACAGGAGTCCAGTATAGCTAGTAGCTTGGCTCTGCAGCGATTTAGCAGGAAAAATGAAGAACGGAACTCGAAGAATTGAATAGTGTTAGATAACCAGTGTAACCTTACTTAGGTTAGGAGTCACTTATAGATAGGTTTTTATGGCATAAGCCGGTAATCGAGCAGACGGATCACCTGATGGTAAGCAATCGACGTCGCCCATAGACATCTGGCACACCAGAGGCGTTACAAGTGCGTTACCGGCCTTTTGGGAATTAGGAGTATGAGGATTGTTGGGGATTCAGGGATTTGGGAGCTCACTCACACGACGTAACACAACGCAAGCGTTGCTTCACGTCGGTTTTCTGCTCGGCCGTGGTATCACTCCGGTCGAGCCGGCCCATTCGTGCCGAAGCATGGCTCTTCCACACTTGATACACAGGTGAAAAACAAAATGACGTTAATGCCCCACTAGCTTCATCCAGCTACTTCGCCCGCGTTCCCGTGGGACGAAAAGTAACCTGTGTGTTATTTCAGATCATAATCTACCAGTGTTCCAAATTCAATCCCGAATCCTTAAGCCGTTTTGACTTGATAGATTAGGTAACAAGGGGGAAAATCATCGAATGACTGCTCCCGCCTGGGTGAGGCGGGAGGGAGTGTCAGACTCTTACTGACTAAAAACCACCCCGTTCCTACTCCTGCCCTTCGAGCCGGAGCCCCGGTAACCCGTTAAGTCCTCCGCGGCTCCGAATCGGCATCAGCCCTACTGGGCCCCATCTGTGGTGGTCTGATGGCTCTAAAATAGGCTTCCCTTATTTTGGAGAGGTTACTTACGAATCAGAATGTTCTCGTTTGGCAGGACTTAGTTTCTCTTTGACTGGCAACTTTATTAATGGCGGTGGACCTCCTGTGGACAAACAAGAAAAAGTATATTACTTTTTTTCGTTAAAAGAACATTTCTCCACACTCGGATTTTCTCCTGTGTCGTGTACAAGTTCATATACACATGACACCCAGATCCGAAACAACAATTTGTGGATCACACAAAGAGTTGTTCCGTACGGGATTCGAACCCGTTACACGTAGCGCGGCACCCAGTTGCCTAGGTTCCGCACCAACCGCGCAGTCTAATATAAACATAATATTATATATTAATTTTATATATAATTTGTTCAACATTATGGATTTTCTATACTTTAATTATCGTTAGTTGCCTGCCTCATTGGCGGAGTGGTCGCAAGACTGCCAGGCAAGGGGTCTCCGGTTCGATTCCCGGGTCGGGCAAAGTTTTATTGGGTTTTTCAAAAATCACAGTAGTAGCACGGAGTCTGGAATTGTGCCCGGTATATGGCAATAGGCTCACCCCCTATTACATGGGAATCATAACATAAATAGTGAAAAGTGGGTGTTACATTGTACAGTGGCATAATGTGCACCTCTGCCTACCCCTTCGGGGATAAAAGCCGTGATGTTATGTTATGTAATTATCGTTAGTTACTTTAGTATACCAGCAGTTTCCAAGATAGCATACAAACAGACAAACATACATACCATTCACATTAAATTTTTCCCCTTTAACCTCCCCATCACTCGTCTCGTCTTTCTTGGGCCTGGGTTCCGGTTCAGGAGTCGCCTTAGGAGAGGGTGTCGCCTTAGGTGAGGGCTTGGGTACTGGTCTCGGTTCGGGCACTTTTTCTATAGGCTTCGGGTCCGTTGGCGTTGCTGTTGTCACTGTTGGACAGATAAGAAATATAATCAGTTATTTTAGTAAATCAGTTTTTTGACTGCCTCGTTGGCCGAGTGGTCGCAATTCCGACTGCCGGGCAAGGGGTCTCGGGTTCGATTCCCAGGTCAAAGTAATACTGGACTTTTTCAAAAAATCTCAGTAGTAGCACGGAGTCTGCAATTGTGCTTGGTGTATATGGCAATATGCTCACCCCCTAATACATGGGACTCAAAACATAAATTGTGAAAAGTGGGTGTTACTTTGTACAGTGGCATTAAGTGCCGTACTGTACACCTCTGCCTACCCCTTCGGGGATAAAAGGCATGATGTTATAAAAAGTAGAGGTGAGGTTTAACAATAGGTAAATGTCTAATAAAGTACCTGCTTCCGAGTCAGGCGGTTCATCCTTGTTGTTCCAGCGTATGTCTGTGAGACCTTTGATGCGGAGCTCCTCAGCTGTCTTCAATAAACTCGCCAACTGCGACTGAAAAAATACGAAACGTTTATGAAAACTAGCTTTTGTCGGCAATAACCAATTTTAATACAAAATCGACGATTGCACTGCTGCGCACTGTATAGCAGCTTCGGTTCCAGCGCGGAGCTGTATATTTTACAAATTGTTGTTTCGGGTCTGGGTGTCATGTGTATGTGAACTTGTATGTTTGTAAACGCACCCACGACACAGGAGAAAATCCTAGTGTGGGAGCAACATTAAAAAAAATCTTTTTAACATACCACTTGTGTCAAATATCGACCATAATCTAATGATTTTAGGATTGAGATTAGTTAACAATTTTGGCCGTAACGTAAATCGATCTGGGTTTCTCGATACAAATTCTATAGAAATAAATTAAAAAAATAAAAGTTCCCTTAACCGACGAGCATGCATGAAAAGACTGATGGCTGTTAATGAAGTGAAAGAGGTATGTAAGAATCGTAGCAATTGGCGTTCTATATCTCTACCTACCCCCATGAGAGACAGGCGTGAGGTTATGTATGTATGTATGTAAATTCTATAGAACTAATGTCAATCTAAAATTTTTGGTATGTAACATAAAATCACGCCTCTTATCCCCGAAGGGGTAGGCAGAGGTTCCCATTACGACACTTAATGCCACTGCACAATGTAACACCCACTTTTTATTATTTATGTTATGAGTCCCATGTAATAGGGGGTGAGTCTATTGCCATATACCGGGCACAGTTCCAGGCTCCGTGCTACTACTGAGATTTTTTTATAAAAATCCCAGTAATACTTTGTTAGTAGCACGAGACCTCTTGCCCGGCAGGCGCACTTGCGACCACTCGGTCAACAAGGCAGTCAACTTTTCAGTCATCACATTACACCCCATCTACTAACATTATGAATCAAACTTGTCGCAAGGGGTCTCGAGTTCGATTCCCGGGTCGGGCAAAATAATACTGGCTTTTTTTAAAATTCGCAGTAGTAGCACGGAGTCTGGAACTGTGCCCGGTATATGGCAATAGACTCACTCCCTATTACATGGGACTCATAACATAAATAGTCAACAGTGGGTGTACGTTAACATTGTACAGTGGTATAATGTGCACCTCTGCCTACCCCTTCGAGGACAAAAGGCGTGATGTTATTTATTTATTTATTAGGTACACAAAACAGAAACACAGCACAATACACAACAGAGTAACATTACAAAACTGTAAATGGCAGACCATGCTTCCACAAGTATGTGCACACAACATGACATGCAACGACTAGTATTTATTTATTAACAATTATTTATAATTAATTATAATCCAGAACAAAATTAGATATAAATTTATGTTATGTTATGAATCAAACCTCATCTACTTACATGATGCACATTCATCTCTCCAGTATACATGTAGTCGAGCAGTGCCTTCAGATGCCGTGGCTCGGCGCCATCGATCACCAGCACCGGCTCGCCTTGCGCCTCGTGAGCTCCCAGCAACGCACCGAGGAGTTCTGAACACGCTGCTAACACCACCCTGCAGGGAATTAAAATATATGTAAATGTTTATCATCCTTCATTCAATTTGAATTTGCCGCGCTTAACTTGATTCGAATTTGTGGTGTTTGAAGTTTATTAGCTATCCCACGGTGGATGACATTACTATACTCGGAATTTTAATTCGATTCCAGATTTGACAATTTCAGTGTTGCAACGTTATGACAAGTACTAAATAGTGACGTTGCGAAATTATTCGATATGGAAATGCAATATTTCTGGATCGATTCTTCTCGTTTATAATTTTACTCTCGTAAACTAAGTATATCAGGAAATTAAATATTTCTAAACCGATAATTTAGTTTTGACGATTAATTAACGATCTGAGACTTTTCTTTTATAATTGTGTGTGAAATAAATAAAAAAATTTAATCATGAAGGAACATTACAAATAAAACAGATAGATGTATTATGGTAATAAGTTATTTTATAAATTGTCGCCGTCATCGCTGTCGCTATCCTGTCACTTTCTGTAACATTTATTATAAAACACACACACTGATTGTTTATCGATTTTTGTGTTCATCACTACACTATTATATGTGGTATCATTATTTCACAAAATGACAGTAGCTAATGTCAAATCTAGAGTCTAATTAAAATTCTGACTATAGGTTATGTGTAAAATAAAATACCGGTGAATCAAAAGTAAATAAGAAAAAATATAGCTTAAATGTTGTTTCTCTTTTCAGGTAAGGATTGTTATTGATTTTAAATACCTTACCATCGTATTTAAATGTTAAAACATATTGATTATAAAAGCATAAGTGTGGGAGAGCCATGCTTCGGCACGAATGGGCCACCAATGGATACCACGGCCTTACAGAGAACCGACGTGAAGCAACGCTTGCGTTGTGTTTTGTCGTGTCAGTGAGGTTACTGGAGGCCCAATTACCCTCCTCTTCCCCAATCTCTCCAATCCCTCAATCCTCAAACTCCTAATCCCCAAAATGCAGGAAACGCACTTGTAACGCATCTGGTGTTCCAGGTGTCCATAGGCGACACCGATTGCTTACCATCAAGGTGATACGTCTGATCGTTTATAGGCTTATGCCATAAAAAAAAAACTCTTTTCAGAGCAACGCATTTCGCAATTATTTTATCGACAGTTAAAGTGAATAAATTAGAACATTAATATATGTATAAATAAAGTTTGTTGTTGTTGGTTGTTCGTTGTTTAAAAAAGCTTCAGAGGAACGTCATAGATCGATAAGACATAAGATCATCACGAATGATGTCAGTGAAGCTTCAAAGAAAACCCTCATGCATAAAAGTATTCTCTGCATGGCTCCCAAAATTCTTTTACTCTTATACCTCTACTATTATATGAAGCGGAAGAGTTTGTTTTTTTGTTTGTTGGTTTGAACGCGCTTATCTCCATAACTACAAGTCGGATTTGAATAATTCTTTTTGTGTTGGATAGCGCATTTATCGAGGATGGCTATAGGCTATAAAACATCACGTTACGACCAATAGGAGCTGAGCAGAGCGTGGTAGACTGCGCGGAAGTAGCTAGGTCCTAATAAAACGCACTTGTAACGCCTCTGGTGTTCCGGGTGTCCATGGGCGAGGCCGATTGCTTATCATCAGGTAATATGTCAGCTCGTTTACTGGCTTATCCCATAAATGAAACTAAACAAATATACAAATGAAGTTGGCACGTTAAAATTTTCACACACAATAAATAATATGGGATCCTATTAGATGGCGGAGTGTATTGATTACCGGTAGCTCAATAACACACTGACCTACATGCGGCGCTGCACCTATCATATTTGTAAATATGATGGTTATTTATTAATTTCATTTGTGATTGCTATGATTTTACTAGGCTCTGTTGCTCGTATTCAAATCCTTAATGTTAAGACAAGCTTAGGTATTCTTTGTAAAATGACACAGATGTCACGATATTTAAGTACTACTTAAAATAAGTAGCCTTTCAGTTAAGTAAAATCGCGGGTTACTCACGTGAATATACTGAGAAAAGCTTTACTAGTTTCGAACCACAGAGGGTTTTTTTCTGATGAGCAGCGTGCGCGGTCGCGGCGACGTCGCGCAGCTCACTGATTCTCACTCTCATTTCTCTCTCATTCTCACTCAGGAAAAAGATACTAGTAGAGTTTTTCTCAGTATATTCACGTGAGTAGCCCGCGATTTTTAGTTGATTTAGTATGTCTCACGATAGTTATTATAAAAACATATTCTTTCACTATTCGAGGGTCTGTCTACGTAGTTGATCGTGAAGTTAACTGGGTAGTTAATTTCCCAGGTTTGGTTGTTTGTGCGCGCTAATCTCCAGAACTACTGGTTCGCGTTGGATAATTATTTTTGTGTTGCATAGTCCGTTTATCGAGAAAGGCTATAGGCTGTTAACCATCTCGCTATATTGAATAGGACTCGAGCAGTAGATGAAACCGGAATAGCTAATGATAATAAGGTGCCAAAGTCATCCACCGTTCTCAATTTACCAGTCCACAGCAACCCATCCATAGCCCTACTTTATTTTTCATTATCCACATTAGTTCTACACTAACCGGGGACTGTCCTTGGGTGCATTTCCATAGTGCATACAAGGATAGTCGCCGGTTTGTGTGTCCATTACATTTAGATTGAAGTTGTATAAAGGGCCTCTGCGCAGTTGGCTTCGGCCCCTCGTACGCCTCCCAAATGACCGGGGCCCTGTAGTCCCGTGAATGGTAAAGACACACATAATAATAATAATAATAAGGTGCCAAAGTCATCCATAGTTCCCAATTTACCAGTCCACAGCAACCGATCCATAGCTCTACTTTTGTTTTCATTATCCACAATAGTTCTACACTAACCGGGGACTGTCCGTGAGTGCATTTCCATAATGCATACAGGGATAGTCGCCGGTTTGTGTGTCCATTACATTTAGATTGAAGTTGTGTAAAGGGCCTCTGCGCGGTTGGCTTCGGGCTTTCGGACGCCTACTAAATGACCCGGACCCTATGGTCCCGTGATTGAGTGATTGGTAGACACATATTAATACAATAATGTTATTTTTTATATATTTGATAGGTCGACATTGGGCCCCTATCTCGCCTGGTGGTAAGCAAAGTTATTTTCCATTTATTTTTAGAAATTTTGATATGATAGAAGGTTTTAACACACCTGTGTGCTCTTAAAGAGACTCCCCTTATGTTCTGTGGCTCCACGGTGTCCTTGCCACCGACTTGTGTCGCGAAACTCGGAGAGCAGTACAGCGTCACATCACAGAATCGTTCTGGAAACAAAAGAATCAGATATAAGTACATTTAAAGTCACATAGCTATACTAACAGATAACCGATGATCAGATCAGCCAGGTTAACATCCTGGAAGGGCCCATCAGGTACAAGAAAGAGGGGTAGACCAGCTGCCAGGTGGACTGACGATATTATACAAGCGGCCGGTAAACATTGGGTGGAGACGGCGAAGAACAGGGATATATGGAAATCTCTAGAGGAGGCCTTCACCTTCGAGAATGAAGGTTCTTACATAAAAAGTTAATTTTATAAAATAGTTAATTTTAGAATTACTGATTAGGAATAGATGTATAAGATTAGAAATAATTTTAATTGTGTATTTTTTGGAAGAAATATAAGGCTTTTTTATACTTATTTTATTCATTTACATTTATAGGATTTTAAACCTTTTTTTTATGGCATAAGTCGGTAATCGAGCAGACGGATCACCTGATGGTAAGGAATCGGCGCCGCCCATAGATACCTGAAACACCAAGGCGTTACAGGTGCGTTACCGGCCTTTTGGGGATTAGGAGTTTGAGGATAGTTGGGGATTCAGGGATTGCGGAGATTGGGCCTCCGGTAACCTCATTCACACGACGAAACACAACACAAGCGTTGCATCACGTCGGTTTTCTGTGAGGCCGTGGTATTACTCCGGTCGAGCCAGCCCATTCGTGCTGTAGCATGGCTTTCCCAATAATTGAAATAAATGCTTTGACTTTGACTTTGACCTAGATTAATTCCGATCTCCTTCTCCATAGTCCCAACTCCCAGCAATATGTATGCAAGAAGACTGATTGAGTAGGAGAAGAGCTCGTACACAAAACTGCGATGCGATGCGATGCTAATTTGCAACGCAAAAAATTACGATGCGAATTGCTGCGATGCGATTTCGTGCGACAAGGCGTCTCCCAGGGCGACCATTCCTTCGACGACCGTCAACTGTACTAAACGTATTTTAAATTGAAAACTAGGTCGTGACATGGATCGTAAAAAGAAGTGTGCACTTCTGTTATTGCTTAGGAGATACAGGATAAGAAACAAACACGATTTCGGGAAGATAAGATTTTGATGCGCGATGCGAATCAATTCGCAAGTTCTTGCGATGTGTAGAGGGAGCTCGCATAATTTTGCGATGTGACGTCGCATCGCAGTTTTGTGTACGAGCCCTAAAGCGGTTTACCAACTATCCTAAAATTACTCTTCACTAAGAATGATTTAGCCGTAGTAGGAACGGGGTGGTTTTTAGTCAGTAAGAGTCTGACACTTCCTCTCGCCTAACACGGGCAGGAGATGTCATTCGATGATTTACCCCCCTCAAAAAAAGCGCGTGGTTTACGGTACAGTTGGTGCGGAGACTCGGTAACTGGCTATCGTGGAACGCGTCGCGAATTCGATTCCCGCACGGTACAACTCTTTATGATATCCACAAATTGTTGTTTCAGGTTAATGTGTCAAGTGTATGTGAACTTATGTTTGTTAAACGCACCCACGACACAGGAGAATATCTTAGAGTGTGGTAACGTTTTAAACTGTCAAACACCAAGCGGTCACCGGTGACCGCAACCTATTGTTCTATAATTGTGTCTATAATGACGGTACTCGACGTGTTAAAAAGAGAAAATATGGGATTGATTAAGAGCTGATTTTTCTTCAATCACCAGTTAATCTTTGACTGTAGAATGAAATTGACATTTGATAGTTTTTAGTATGGAAGAATTGTCGAATTTTCAAAGTTATTCTTCGGTTAAAATTTAACTGGCGTTGGACAAAACAAAAAAAGTCGTGGTGGCCCGGAGGTTTAAGACGATCACTTCTCATGCATGAGGGTGCGGGTTCGAAAACTACCAACGGCAATTACCAATGTGACTTTTTCTAAGTTATACGTACTTTCTAAGATTATTCAAACATCACTAACAAACGGTGAAGGAAAACATCGCGAGAAAACCTGGGCTTATAATTTCTAATTATAAGTTTGAAATCACTAACCCGTATTGAGCAAGCGTGGTGATTAATGCTCAAACCTTCTCCGAGTCAGAAGAGGCTTTGCTCAGCAGTGGGCATTTATAGGTTGTTGATGGGTTATGGACAAAACCTAAAACGAACATACGTGAGAGACTAAAATTTACAAAAATTCTTTATTGAACTATTTGATGTTACTTTATCGCTAGAGGCAAATTTCGAATACTCTCATTATTAATTTATACAAAAATATGTTTATCTCGAATGCAAAATTTGCAATAGTTCAGAGGTTAACATTTAATATCAATATTGATTGAGCCACCTGTCGAGACAGACCTTGATGTAATCGAGTCTTTAAAATATACGTTTTGGAGTCTTTTTTTTTTGAGGGGGGAACAATATTCAATGACTTTCTCCCGCCTTGGCTTAGGCGAGAAGGAGTGTCAGACTCTTACTGACTAAAAACCACCCCGTTCCTACTCCTGCACGTCGAGTCGGAGCCCCGGCAACCCGTTAGGCCTTCGGTCGCTCCGTATCTGCATCAGTCCTACTGGGCCCCATTGGCGGTGGTTTTTTTTTTAAGGGGGAACATCATTCAATGAATCCCGTCTTGGCTTAAGCGGGAGGGAGTGTCAGACTCTTACTGACTAAAAACCACACCGTTCCTGCTCCTGCTTTTCGAGCCGGAGCCCCGGCAACCCGTTAGGACTTCCGCGGCTCCGTATCGGCATCATCTGGGCCCCATCTGTGGTGGTCTGATGGCTCTTTGAGGCGCGCGCGGTACGGGACGCGCCGTACGCTCGGGATTGGTTCTTGTCGGGTCGCTAGCTACCCTTGATCGCCGTCAGCAGACCCGCTTTTACTTGGAACTTCAAAAGGAGCGTGGAGCAGGAGCCTTTCAGGACACTCTCTCGTCTCACCCAGGGCAGAAGGAGTTTTAATGATTTTTCCATTTCAAATAAGACTCGTAAATCGCATGCCTGACCTGTGAATTGTGATTTGAACCCGAGACCTCTTGCTAATAGCACAAGACTAGACTACAATCAGTCCATTATTCATTAGGTAGGTATACATGCGTAATATGTAATAGTATGTACTAAAAACAAATCAATTTAAAGATTTATTTTAATAATGACCAATTATTTCGTGTATCTAATAGGTGAGTTAAGAACGTCATATAAATTTCAAAATTGTATTGGTCATAAATATAATTGAATTAGTCGCATGATGAATGCATCTTCTCTCATTGGGCGGTTCGAGGCGTATTCTAGACTTAAAGCAGCCAATCAAAAAGCAGAAAAAGACCACCTTTCGAAATGCTAAAATGACTACGTCAACCGCATGTCATACTACCCTATTTTACTAACACATTTTATACAATGACCAATCTTATTTACTTAACATAAGGTTGAGAATTAAATAAAGTTGCGAGGTGAACTTGAAGAGCTGTGGGTCTACCTAAAATTTTTCATTTTTAAGTTGAATTGCAAAATCGGGTTTCGTCACCGTGCGACTTGACCGCACGATTGTAATTCCGTTTCTATTTTTAGACACAATATTAAAACACCAACTGGTTTCCGAGGTCGATTATTTTTATTTTTAAATTTAAAACCTCTATAATATGCTAATTTACATTGATATTTTATGTTTTAAATTAATTGCGGATCTTAGGAAGTTATTTTATTTGGCATTATCTTTAACCTCGACCTAACAATTTCAAATTAATAATCTTATCGCATTGAGGTTACCGGAGGCCCAATTACCCCCCTCACTAGTCTCCCATAACCCTCCTCAATCTTCAAATTCCCAATTCCCAAAAGGCCGGTAACGCACTTGTAACGCCTTGGTGTTCCAGGTGTCCATGGGCGGCGCCGATTGCTTACCATCCGGTGATCTGTCTGCTCGTTTACCGGATTATGCTATAAAAATAAAATTGAGTAGGTAGCAGACTTAACGGATTGTCGGGGCTCCGGCTCGAAGTGCAGGAGTAGGAACCGAGTGGTTTTTAGTCAGTAAGAATATGACACTCCTTCTCGCGTCATCCAGGCGGGAGAAGTCATTCGATGATTTACGTCGATAGACGTCGCCATGTCGACAGACGCCGCGTCGTATGTCGCGGAATGCTCATGAGTATGAGCCTCTAGTATGGCTTGAAACTAGTCGAGTACCTCGTCAAATAGTTACGTGAGTAAGCCGAAAATATAATAATTGACTCTCACGAATTACTTTCTTATGGTATAAGGCAGCAAACGAGTAGAGAGATCACCTGATGGTAAGCAATCGACGCCGTCCATAGACACCCACAACACTGAAGGTGTTACAAGTGTGTTGCCGGGCTTCTATGAATTAGGGATTTAGATCCGAGACCCTTTGTTCGGCAGTCGCGCTTTTCACCTACTCCACTCAAAATAAAAAAAAAACCACATCCACGTGTCAGGTAAAGTACCTATCTGTTTGACTTTAAAAGTTATTCAAAATGGTCATTTTTGTAATTAAAATAAACGATTTGACTTTTGCATTCAAATCAAAATATATTTATTAAAATATTCTAGTAGGCATTATACTACCAAAATAAAATATGTATCTATCGGCAATTTCTAAAAATCTGTATGTATTATTATTATAAATGTATCAAATTACCATAATTGACAAAAAAAATACTGTAGCAGGCACAATTTACAGTGAAATCAATGACTGTGGGCGGTGGCTGGGCAACTGGCTGCCACGCAACGTGTCGCGGATTCGATTCCCGCATGGAACAACTTTTTGTGTGATCCACAGATTGTTGTTCCGGGTCTGGGTGTCATGTGTATGTGAACTTGTATGTTTGTAAACACACCCACGACACAAGAGAAAACCATAGTGTGGGGTAACATTAAAAAAAAAACAGACAAAAAGGATATTTTTTATCTCTGTTTACGTCTTCATAAAGCCGATTATAGTTGCATAAAATGATTGATTCCGTTTCTATAAATTAAAACTAATCTTATGTCGAAAGAATAACATTCAAAATTGAATATATAACCAAGAAATGC